GACCGCGAGATCGTGACCTGGCTGAAGTCGGACGCTTAACCGACTGCGCCACCCAGGCGCCCCCCAAATTTTTTTATTTTAGAGAGAAAGAGAGCAGGAGCAGGGCAGAGGGGCAGAGGGAGAGGGAGAATCTTAGGTAGGCTTCACGCTCAGCAGGGCGGAGCTGGATGCGGGGCTCAATCCCACGACCCTGGGCTCATGACCTGAGGCGAGATCAAGAGTCAGACTCAGACGCTCAACCGACTGAGCCACCCAGGCGCCCCACAATGGATGTACTTTATTTGGCTTAAAATGACTGTGCACTCCATACTTTACTTTCTTCAAACATAACAAATTTGTCACCAAGTGACTGTGGATGCTGTCCCCATGTCCTTATGAACAGTCTTGCTCTGCTGGAGACTATGTGGGGTTCAGGCCTGGCTCAGCCACTCACTAGCTCTGTGATCTTGAGCAAGGTACCCCGCCTTTCTGTGCCTTAGATTCTCATCTGTACAATGGGTTTGATAGAGTTAGCAGTCTGCGGGAGCCATGAGGACGGAATGGGTTAATCTGGAGGTTCCTTGCAGTGAATAAATGTTACCTCCGATTACTGCAATATTTGTGCTGTGACTTTGGAAAGCATGGCTGAGCATGCTTTAACACTGACAAGCATGAAGGGGCACTTGAGGACGTGTGGCCTCCCCCACGCTGTCCCCAGCCACCGTGCCCCACCTTGCAGTTTTCAGTCCACAGCCACAGTGTGCGTCATCAAAGATAAAGCCAGACGTTAGTTAATATGGTAAAAACAGGTTTTATTCAGTAACCACTGCATGGGCAAGTTCAAGGGTGACGGCGACATTTTAAAGGGAGAATGAGGGAGCCAGGAGAGGGAGAGAGTCAGACATGAAAAATTGCAAAGTGAGAGGTTGCTCAACGCCAAGGCGATTAGGCTGGCTGACTGGTGATTAGCCTCCCACAGAGACTGGGAGACAGGGGACCTATCCCTCCTGATGATTACATTTCAACGGAATGGCCTTCAGTCCTTGAGAGTGACACTCCTGGGGTGTGGGAGGTACATATTGTCTCAGAGGGACAGAGGAAGGACTTACGATTGTAAACTTTCTCAAGTAACTGCTCTTCGGGGGCTCGAGGGGTTCGGAGGTCTGTCTTCAGGTGCCTGTTGCAGGTGGAAGGCCTGAGCTTTCTCAGGCAGGCATTTGAAGGGGGCTGAGGTCCTCACTGCCAAGGGCAGCCTTGGGCAGCTCGGAACCCTGCCTGTGTTTGTTCAAGTCTTTTAGTGTGCGGTGGGTGAAAGAGACTGTGCTGAAAGTTACCGTTCTTGCAGGCCAAGGTCAAAGCCTGGCGGAGAAGAGGGGTCAGCAGAGCCCGACCAGAGTCACGTTCTGCGGCAACCAGTAAAGCCACCGCGGTCCTTTTCATGGCCGCCGGTCCCCTGTTGATGGACACGTGGGTATGGCGTGTTGAAGCTTTTATAGACCCCAGTTATTTTCAAGAAAACAAATATTCGACGGACAAGGAGTTTCCAAAAATGATTAACTCAGCATGTAAAGAAACGGGATAATAATCAATTTGAGGCTGCGTTCTCTTTAAGGCCCCGGAACTATCTAGGACTCACCTCAGAAACACGTGAACTGGTTATTACCTCACGCTCTGTGTCCCTCTGCTTGGGTCTAAATCCTGGCACTGACACTGACGACCTGTGTGGTTGTGGCAAGTTACCCTGACCCTTGTTACCTGACGCCGGGTCGCCTCTTGGTGGATGACAGCCAAAAGATACCACCGAGCCAAAGAATAAGAAAAGGGAGAGTTTTACTCACAACTGTGGAGAACCCTGGGGATATTTCCCAAAGCAGTGTCTCCCCCCACAACAAACTGGGGACATTTTAAGTTGAGGATGCAAACATATTCCTGAAGGGGCCTGTGCAACGGGGACTACAGCAAAGAACGCAGGTAGAAGTCATCTAAGGTGACGGAGTCCAGGTCAGAAGTCCCCAGGGTTGGCAAGGGTCAGCATCGCCAATTCTCTGGCTCTAGTTAGTCCTTAGTCCAGCATCTGAGTGCTCAGAGGGGTTTAGATCCTGCAAAGGTAGCTCAAGTCTTCGCTTTATGATTATTAAAAACATTTTTTCTTTTAATGTTTGTTTATTTTTGAGAGAGAGACACAGAGTGTGAGCAGGGGCGGGCCAGAGAGAGGGAGACACAGAATCCGAAGCAGGCCCCAGGCTCCGAGCTGTCAGCACAGAGCCCGACGCGGGGCTCGAACTCAAGAACTGCGAGATCAAGACCTGAGTCGAAGTCGGACGCTTAACTGACTGAGCCACCCAGGCACCCCAAATTATTATTTTTTTAAGTAATCTCTAGGGCGGTTGGGTGGTTCAGTCAGTGAAGCATCTGACTTCGGCTCAGGTCATGATCCCATGGCTTGTGAGTTTGAGCCCACATCCCCTCCCCAGTTCCCTCTCTCTCCTTCTCTCTCAAAAATAAACATTAAAAAAATTTTTAAATAATCTCTGTACCCAGTGTGTGGCTCAAACTCACGACCCCGAGATCAAGTCTTGGCACACTCCACCGACTGAGCCAGCCAGGCACCCCCAGTCTTCACTTCTGAATATGATTAGGTTATCCCTGGCCTGAAAGAATGTTCTTACATTCTTTCACAAGATGGCCAGGGTCCTACAATGACTTTTCTTTTCTTTTTTAATTTTTTAAATGTTTATTTATTTTTGAGAGAGAGACACACAGAGTGCGAGCAGGGGAGGGGCAGAGAGAGAGGGAGATACAGAATTCGAAGCAGGCTCCAGGCTCTGAGCTGTCAGCACAGAGCCCGATGTGGGGCTCGAACTCGTGAGCCGTGGGATCATGACCTGAACCAAAGTCAGACACTTAAGACCATCCAGGTGGTGCCTCTACGATGACTTTTCTTATGTCAAGAAAGCTATGGCTTATCTTTTTCCCTGGGGACCCCTAACTCTTTCTACCTATACCCTCTTTTTTTTTTTTTTTTCCATTTGATTTAATATTGATTTCTAAGTTCAGGTAACATACTTGGACACATAAAAATATTAAAGTGTAAAATATTTTCTGTTTATATCTGACTTTGACCTCCAACAATGAATCAAAATTGAATTAAGTATCAGAAAAAAAAAGGTAGATTTGTAAATTTACTCCTTGTAAATTTTTTCTTCTGATTTTTCTACATTAGAAACATCACTAAACTTTACATTCACTGGATATAGTAATTCACTGCATATAAATATTTAATACGATCTCAATCCAGTTATAGTTAAAAATCGCTCATAAAGATTCAAACAGATCCCAAAATTAGAGAACTACAAAACCATAAATCAAATTATCCACTTTACTTACTGAAGTGCTATCAACCTTTTTTTTCTGGATCATTATTTTATTTTATTATTTACATTCAGGGCTCCTGGGTGGCTCAGTCGGTTGGCTGAGCGTCTGACTTTGGCTCAGGTCATGATCTCTAGGTTCCCGAGTTTGAGCCCCACATCGGGCTCTGTGCTGACAGCTCAGAGCCTGGAGCCTGTTTCGGATTCTCTGTCTCCCTCTCTCTGCCCCTTCCCCACTCACGCTCTGTCTCTCTCGCTCTCAAAAATAAATAAAAATATCTAAAAGAATAAATAAATGAATGAATTCAAGTTAGTTAACATACAGTGTAGTCTTGGCTTCAAGAGTAGAACCCAGTGATTCATCTCTTATAGAGGACACCCTGTGCTCATCCTGAAAAGTGCCCTCCTTAATGCCTGTCACCCATTTAACCCATCCCCCCACCCGCCTCCCCCTGAGCAACCCTCAACTTGTTTTCTGTATTTAAGAGTCTCTTATGGTTTGTCTTCCCGTTTTTTATATTATTTTTGCTTCCCTTCCTTTATGTTCATCTGTTTTGTACCTTAAATTCCACTTATGAGTGAAGTCATATGATATTTGTCTCTCTCTAACTGACTTAGAGAGTGGCTGCACCCGTTTGCATTCCCACCAGCCGGGCAAGAGAGATCTCTTTCTCCGCATCCTCGCCAACATCTGTTGTTGCCTGAGTTGTTCATGTTAGCCATTCTGACAGGTGTGAGGTGATATCTCACCGTGGTTTTGATTTGTACTTCCCTGATGATGAGTGATGTGGAGCATTTTTTTTTTTTTTTTCCATGTGTCAGTTGGTCATCTGGATGTCTTCTTTGGGGAAGTGTCTATTCATGTCTTTTGCCCATTTCTTCACTGGATTATCTGTTTTTTGGGTGCTGGGTTTGATAAGTTCTTTATAGATTTTTGGATACTAACCCTTTATCTGATATTTTATTTGCAAATATCTTCTCCCACTCCACCGGTTGCTGATTGTCTCCTTCTCTGTGCAGAAGCTTCTTATTTTGATGAGGTCCCAGTAGTTCATTTTTGCTTTTATTTCCCTTGCCTCTGGAGGCATGTTGAGTAAGATGTTGCTGCCACCAAGATCAAAGAGGTTTTTGCCTGCTTTCTCCTCGAGGATTTTGATGGCTTCCTGTCTTACATGTAGGTCTTTCATCCATTTTGAGTTTCTTTTTGTGTCTGGTGTAAGAAAGTGGTCCAGGTTCATTCTTCTGCATGTCACTGTCCAGTTTTCCCAGCACCACTTGTTGAAGAGTCTGTCTTTATTCCATTGGATATTCTTTCCTGCTTTGTCAAAGATTAGTTGGCCATATACTTACGCTCTCTCTGTGTCTAGATGTCCACATCTGTAAAAGGGATAATGATGTCATAAGGCTGTTGTGAAAATTAAGTTAGTTGATCCATGTCAAGCCCTTAATAATTGTTAACCAGTTTAATCCAAAGTTTTCTTACCTCTCACACCCAGGCCTAGAGGAGTGTCAGGTAGGTTCAAGGATAGACATGTTGCACTTTTTTTTTTTTTTACGTTTATATATTTTGGGGAGGGAGAGCACACACAAACGGGGTAGGGACAGAGAGAGAGGGAGACAGAGGATCTGAATTGGGCTCTGCGCTGAGAGCAGTGAGCCTGATACGGGGCTTGAACTCACTAACCGTGATCATGACCTGAGCAGAAGTTGGACGCTTCGCCGACTGGGCCACCAGGGCGCCCCTGCAGCATCACACTTTCATAACTTCAGTCTGGAATATCTTTCCCCTTTGCATGTCGGTTTCATCTTTCACCAACATTCGCTGGTGATTTCCAACGTGACTGTTCCCTAAACTGCTCGAGAATCCCACTGACTTGCCATTAGCATGCAGGAATATTTTCGTTACCAAATGTTGTGCTCTATGTATTACAGTTTGGGGGTTCCTGTCTATTCTCGGCTACTCATCTTTTTGACCCCTTAACCCGAGTGTACCTTTGAGCATTTGCTGAGGGTCTAGGCCTGTGTGGGACACACAGACCGGGTAAGATGAAGTTTCCTTGTGCACAGTACACAGTCCCACTGTGGCTAGTGGATCGCAGAACTCCATCAAGTGTCAAAAGGCAAAGGGAGAGCACAGGTAATGGCTTTGGTCCTAATACGTGCCCTGAAAATCTGGAGGAGTCCGAATCTTCCAGGAAGGAGGAGTGGTTTTGAGGTAGGTGGGCAAGGATGCTTGGAGCTTATAGGTGGTCTTGGCAGGAGACAGGTGTCTCAGGAGAGTGAGGAGCCACATTTGCCTGTGGGAGAGAATTCCTGTTTGGGGTCGGAGGGGTAAGGTGGAACCAAATTACGTGGAACTTTAGAAACTAAACACCTCTTTGGAAATGACAAGAGATGGGGTACCTGGGGGGCTCAGTGGGTTGGGCATCCATCTTCTGCTCAGGTCATGATCTCACAGTCTGTGGGTTCGAGCCCCACGTCTGACTCTGTGCCGACAGCTCGGAGCCTGGAGCCCGCTTCGGATTCTGTGTCTCCCTCTCTCTGCCCGCTCCACTCACTCGCTCTGGCTCTTTCAAAAATAAATATTAAAAAAAAAAAAAAAATGACCAGAGAGGAAATAGCCCCTGTGTATCTTAAGCAAAGTCCTGGATAATTACCACCTCCTACCACAAGCGCCTGTATTAGGATAATAAATAAGATTCGTGGCACTGGGGGCCTGGGAATTTTTCATGAGAAGCAAATTTCCTTGTAAGTGTTGCTGAGGTCTCAGTTTGTGTCCTCAGCCAGGAGAAATCGTGAGTAAAATTGAGATTGTGACATGTTTTAGTCTCCTCTTCGGGAGAAAAGCGCTAACCTCCCGACTCCGGTGACGTCTGACATTGGCCTTTCTTTTATGGCTGAGTCTCCTCCATGAATCAGGAACCCAGTGCGTCTTCCCTTTCAATCAGCCATCGCCATTACTCAGCAGCTAGGCGTTTGCCCCATAAATGTTGAAATTCTCCTCCGCGCTGGATGCGGTATTAAGGGCAACAGATAAACAGGGAATTGCAATACGTTTTTGTCTTTGTGGCCTGACGCCTAGTGGAAAACTGACCTATAAATGCATAAATAGAGAAGGCCAGGGGTAGGCAGACTTTGTGTATAAAAGTAGTAAAAGGCCAGATAGTGAACATTTTAGGCTTTGTGGTCGCCTGGTCTCTGTCACGGCTGTTCACCTCCGTCACTGTAGCGTGCAAAGCAGCCGTGGACAATGTACCCAAGCAAATACATGGGTGTGCCTTTACTCATGGACACTGACATTTCAGTAGAACTTTCGCATAATTCCGGAGACATTTCATACAATTCTCATGGGTCACAAAATACTCTCTTTTTGATTTTTTGTTCAACCATTTAGCAATATAAAAGCCATCCCTCGCTCACAGGCCATATTAAAACCGGTTGGCAGGGTTGCCCGAGTGGCTCAGTTGGTTGAGCGTCCGACTTCAGCTCAGGTCATGATCTCACAGTCTGTGAGTTCGGGCCCCACGTCGGGCTCTGTGCCGACAGCCCGGAGCCTGGAGCCTGCTTCCGATTCTGTGTCTTCCTCTCTCTCTGCCCCTCCCCCGTTCATGCTCTGTCTCTCTCTGTCTCAAAAATAAATAAACATTAAAAAAAAAATAACGAATAAAATAATATCAAACCAGTTGGCAGAGCAGATTTGGTCCGCGGGCCAGCGTCTGTTGACTCCTGGAAAGAACTGTAACAGACGCAGATACAACAGGCAAGGAACACAGGCAGAGGTTCACGGTTCCTGCGGGACCGAGTTAGGCGCAGAGGATGCTTCCAGGAGGAGGCGAATTGTACTCAGGTTTTGAGAGTTAAGTTGTTGTTTGCACGAGGCCAGTTAAGGGGGTGGGGAGATGAGAGCAAGCCACAGGGCAGCCGGGTTGCAGGCTACTGGAGCAAAGGCACAAAGTCTCAGGCCCGAAGGGCATGGCGCGTTTGGAACCTGCGAGAGGTTGGTGCAGCCCCAGCAACGGCGGCAAGTGGGCAGGGAACCTGAGCCAAGCTTTGCGAAAGGCCTTTATTGCCGCGCCGGAGTGGATTTCATTCGGAGGCAACGGAAGCCTTAGAAGTTTCCCAGCAGGGAAGTGATTCAAAGCCGCTCCGGATTCTACCCAGCCCTGGAGCGGGGAGGCCAGGTTAGAGAAGCGGGCACGGGAACACCGGGTGGGCGGGTGGGCTGGCAGCGTGAGAACCGGGCCGAGGGCCGTCCCCACACGAGGTTGTGGGCACTGCAGAAACGCACGGGGCTTCAGATGGAGTCCAGGGAGTGAAGCCAAAGGCTGGGAGCCAGAGACATAGCCTGCAGGGCACCGTGGGGGCCGGACGGGACACAGAACTGTCAACATCCAGAGCAGGAGATGGAGGGCTGGGGAGGGGGGCAGAGCTGCTCCCCAGCACCTGCAACAGCGACCGGGGTCCCAGGGCAAAAGATATAGGACCGTACCTACCTATAGCTCTGTAGAGACCCGACTTTTGTCCTCCCCTTCCTAAGGGGACTTCCTGTCCACCATTTGGCGTGTGTCCTTCTGACTCCCTGTTCTCTGCCCGTGCAAATACACATATCACGTCTTTTCAAATAAGAGTGAAAGGCATGCCTATTTTTATGCAATTTGCTTTTTTTTTTTAATTTTTTTTTTTTAACATTTATTTATTTTTGAGACAGAGAGAGACGAAGCATGAACGGGGGAGGGTCAGAGAGAGAGGGAGACACAGAATCCGAAACAGGCTCCAGGCTCTGAGGGCTCAGCACAGAGCCCGACGCGGGGCTCGAACTCACGGACCCTGAGATCATGACCTGAGCTGAAGTCGGACACTTAACCGACTGAGCCACCCAGGTGCCCCTGCTTTTTTTTTTTTTAAGTTTATTCGTTTCGAGAGAGACAGAGAGAGCAAGCGGGGGAGGGGCAGAGAGAGAGAGGGAGACACAGAATCCGAAGCAGGCTCCAGGCTCCGGGCTGTCAGCACAGAGCCTGATGTGGGGCAGCCCATCGTGGGGTTCAAACCCACGAACCACGAGATCATGACCTGAGCCAAGGTCGGATGTTTAACTGACTGAGCCCCCCCCTCCCGGCGCCCCTGTTTATACCATTTTAAACGGACACTTCGGTGGCACCGTGTGCGTTCCCGCTTTTGGGCAACCGCCACCACCATCCATCTCCAGAACGTTTCACCCTCCCAAACTGAATCTCTGTCCCCAGTTACACACCAGCTCCCCGTGCTCCTGCCCCTCCTTTGCTCGCAGTCTTGTCCAAATAATAGAGCCGGCCCCCGGCTTCCTGGACCCGTTTTCCCTTCCCCTTCGGTAGTGTCCCCTTCGGACGTTTTGCATGCCGTCCACACGACGCCTGGTGCAGGTATTCAAGACGCAGAGGACACACTCTGCCCTCAGGTAGCTTAGTTTTAGCCAGACGGAAACAAACGATAAAATGAGATTTATGTGAAACTGTGTATTCGTTCAGAGAATACTTGTTGACTGCCCTCCCCTCGCTTATGCGCACACACATGGGCGCTCTCCCTCTCAAAATAAACAAAAACAAAACTTTAAAAAAAATTTTTTTTAACGTTTATTTATTTTTGAGACAGAGAGAGACAGAGCATGAACGGGGGAGGGGCAGAGAGAGAGGGAGACACAGAATCCGAAACAGGCTCCAGGCTCTGAGCCGTCAGCACAGAGCCTGACACGGGGCTCGAACCCACGGACCGCGAGATCATGACCTGAGCCGAAGTCGGAAGCTCAACCAACTGAGCCACCCAGGTGCCCCCAAAACAAAACATTTTAAAGAAAGAAAATGTTTGTTGAGTGTCGTTTTTTTTTCATTGATTGTAAAATGCCCATTTTTTTTTTCATAGTTTAGCGTCTCTTAAATTGGGATGCATGTCACTGTCAATGGATATCATAGTTCAATCGTCAGAGTTTTTTCTCTTTCTTAGTGGTACATAAATTAATGGGGCATTTTACAATCAAAGGCATCTTAGATGTGATGGAACACAGCATGCGTCAGGTTCTGTCCAAAGTGCTGGAATCCAGCGGGCGAACAGGAACAGACCAAAGGGAGCCGGGAGGGTGGGGGCCATGGGTGAAATAGTTGAAGGGCAGGAAGAGCGCACTTTTCGTGATGTGCTCAGAGCAACGTATAGAACTGTTGTTCAATCCCATCGTGGGGGCGCCTGGGTGGCTCAGTCGGTTAAGCGTCCAACTCTTGAGTTCGGCTCAGGTCATGATCTCTCGGCTCTTGAGTACGAGCCCCCAGCTGGGCTCTGCGCTGACAGCGCGGATCCTGCTTGGGATTCTCTCTCTCTCCCTCTCTTTCTGCCCCTCCCCTGCTCGCTCGCTCTCTCTCAAAAGAAGTAAATTAAAAATAAAAAAAAGAATTGTTCAGTCATGTGATATTGTACCCCTGAAACTAATGTAATGCTGTTAATTATACTTCACCAAAAAATTAAAGATGAAATTAAAAAAAAAAAAAAAAGAAAAGAAAAATATAAGATTTATAGATTTCAGGTTTGGGGCAGTCTGGGATATCTTATGTCAGAGGTAAAGGAGGATTCATGGGGTCATATCAAAAGGATACAGCTTGATGGGGCGCCTGGGTGGCGCAGTCGGTTAAGCGTCCGACTTCAGCCAGGTCATGATCTCGCGGTCCGTGAGTTCGAGCCCCGCGTCAGGCTCTGGGCTGATGGCTCAGAGCCTGGAGCCTGTTTCTGATTCTGTGTCTCCCTCTCTCTCTGCCCCTCCCCCGTTCATGCTCTGTCTCTCTCTGTCCCAAAAATAAATAAACGTTGAAAAAAAAAAAAAGATACAGCTTGAGAGGTGCTTATGTATTGAACTTGAGAAATTTTGAACCTATAATTATTCTAAATAATAGGTGAAATTAATGGTGGAAAGAAAAACAAGGGAGAGAAAAGCGGGGCAAAGCATTTAACCACCACCGGGGGTGATCAGCAAACCATCTCCTTATTCCAAAACTTGGTAGTTCAATGGAGAGAGTTAAACATCTGCTCTGACTTTTCAGAAGCAAGCAAAAGCCTTCTTACAGGGGTTCCCCGGGTGGCTCAGTCAATTGAGTGTTCCGACTCTTGATTTCAGCTCAGGTCATGAGATCGAGCCCTGTGTTGGACTCCAACACTGAGTGTGGAGCCTGCTTGGGATTCTCTCTCTCTCTCTCTCTCTCTCTCTCTCTCTCTCTCTCTCCCTCCCTCTCTCTCTCTAAAGTAAAATTAAATTAAATTACATTACATTAAAAAGTCTCACAGAAGCATACGAGCTGATTAAAAAAAAAAAAACTGCCACCGGGGCGCCTGGGTGGCGCAGTCGGTTAAGCGTCCGACTTCAGCCAGGTCACGATCTCGCGGTCCGGGAGTTCGAGCCCTGCGTCGGGCTCTGGGCTGGTGGCTCGGAGCCTGGAGCCTGTTTCCGATTCTGTGTCTCCCTCTCTCTCTGCCCCTCCCCCGTTCATGCTCTGTCTCTCTCTGTCCCAAAAACAAAAAC